TGACCATCAATTCTTCGCAGATGGCATTTAGGCTGCGCTTGCAACATTCCCTCTTCATTGCACGAATTTCAGACAACGACTCGGCCTTCCTTGAGGGGGAGACTGTTCCCCTCACTGAGTATGCCTCTGCAGCAAGCACTCTGCCTCTGGATTTCGACCTATGGCACAGGAGACTTGCTCACCACAACCTGATTGGTGTCAAATCGCTGCTGGAGCGAAATCTGGTCACTGGGATGACCCTAGACTCCAAATCCTCCCCTGACCCCATCTGTGAACCATGCCTGGCTGGAAAGATGCATGCAAACCCCTTCCCCACTGCTTCCTGGCGCTTCTAGGCCTCTGGAACTCGTCCACAGCGATGTACACCATGTAGGGCATGCCTCCTTCTCAGGCTACAAGTATTGGGTCACATTCATCGATGATTTCACTCGCTATCACTTTGTTTTGCCTCTGAAAGCGAAATCTGAGGTCTTTGAGGCTTTCAAGACCTTCAAGGCCTTTGCTGAGAACCAGAGCGAACGAAAAATCAAGATTTTGCAGGATGACAAGGGAGGGGAGTATATGAGCAATGCCTTCATCAATTTTACCACCCAATGCGGAATTCTGCGCCAGCACACAGTCAGAAATCGACCACAGCAAAATGGAGTGGCAGAGCGAGCCAATAGACTACTCTCTGAGCGGCTTACTGCGATGCTGGACGAGTCTGGCCTTTCTAAGGCCTTCTGGAGCGAGTGCCTAGCCTCCTTGGTCCATGTTTGGAACAGATGCCCCACTGAAGCAGTCCAAAATGCGACCCCCTATGAACTATGGCATGGGAGAAAGCCAGATGTCTCCCACCTTCGAGTTTGGGGGTGTACTGCCTATGTGCACATCCAGAAGGACAAAAGGCGACCTCTGGAGTCCCACATGGAGAAATGTGTGTTTATAGGGTACCCTGAAGGCTACAAAGGCTGGAAATTCTACAATCCCACCACAAAGCGCACAATCATCTCAGAAAGGGCTGATTTTGATGAGAGGTACTTCCCTTTGTCCACTCGCCCTTCCACACCTTCCCTACCTGTGCCTCTCCCTCCAAAACCTACCCAAAATGCGCCAGTAGCTCCTATGCCCTCCATTCCACCCCCTACAGCGCAATACTACCATCCAAGCACAGATCTGGAGACAGATAGTGACACTGATGATGATCTGGATCAAGGTGTTGTTGTTAGTGCCTGTGCACCTCAGACTAATTCCCAGGTTCCCCACCTTCCATGTTAATGATGTGTGCACTTATTTTCTTCAGTTGTTCTTTGTTTGTTCAGTGTTCGCATTTTTACTGTGCACAGAGTATCTTGTTCTTTAGTTACTGACTCTGTGCACATAGGTGTGTAAAACTACATAGACAACAATTCAGTTACTGACTCTGTGCACATAGTGCTGAGCATTGGGATATCTTAACACAAGGGGGAGTGATTTGTTGCAAGTGTAGTACTCCAGCACTCAGCAATGCTAGTCCCTACTAGCACTGTTCATATCAGGTGCCTGTGCACCTCAGACTGCATTTTCCCTTTATTTTATCTCTGTCTAACCCTACAGACATGTAGTGGACACTTAGCTTCGCTCTAAGTGTCCTTGGTTTGCTTTTATTTACTATTTACATTTGTTTATCATTTTTGCGCACTTACTGCTCTGTGCCCAGTGATATTTTCTTCAGTCTCTTACACTGGGCACCAGGTACAGTCCTGTATTACTTTACTCAATAACAGTCTCTTACACTGGGCACCAGTGGCCTCAGTTTGTGGTTATCTCAACACTATGTGCACAGAGTCAGTAACTAAAGAACAAGAGACTCTGTGCACAGTAAAAATGCGAACACTGAACAAACAAAGAACAACTGAGTAAAATATGTGAACACATTATTAATATGGAAGGTGGGGAACCTGGGACTTAGTTTGAGGTGCACAGGCACTAATAGCAACAATACTTGTAGCCAGAGAAGGAGGGGTGGCCTACATGGTGTACATCGCTGTGGACAAGTTCCAGTGGCCGTGAGGCGTGCCAGGATGAGGTAGGAAAGGGATTTGAGTGCATCTTGCCAGTCAAGCAAGGTTCACAGATGGGGTCAGGCATAGCTTTGGAGTCTGGGGTCATCCCTGTCACTAGGTTTCACTCCAGAAGGGACTTCACACCAGTCAGATGATGGTGAGCACATCTCCTGTGCCATAGGTCGAAGTCCAGGGGTAGAGTCACAGCTGCAGATGCATACTCAGTGAGGGGAACTGTTTCACCCTCCAGCAAGGCCGAGTTGTTGTCTGAAATTCGCACAATGAAGAGGGGGTGTCGCAAGCGAAGCAAAAGGCCATCTGAGAAGAGTTGATGCTGACAGTGAAGCCCTTGGAGCGACAGAGAAATAACACAGATAATAGATCATTGCAAAGAGCAGGAACATGAAGAACATTGCTAAACTTGATAGGATGACGCTTTTGACCTCCCACCACAGGCTCAAAGTGTTGAGATAACCACAAACTGAGGCCACTTGTGCCCAGTGTAAGAGACTAATATTCAAGGGAATACTACATAAGACATACCTTGTGCCCAGTGTAAGGAGACTGAAGAAAATTTCACTGGGCACACAACAGTAAGTGCGCACAAATGATAAACAAATGTAAACAATAAACAAATGCCAACCAAGGACACTTAGAGCAAAGCTAAGTGTCCACTACATGTCTGTAGGGTTAGATAGAAATAACACAGAGGAGAAATGCAGTCCTGAGGTGCACAGGCACCTAATATGAACACAAAGAGCACAGACCCAATCCCAGCTGAATAGACAATTTTATTGTCTGCTAGCTTGATAGGAACACATTTTGGGCTGTAATTTCACAGCCAATGGCAATGGGGCATCATATGAGCAGTGGCAGCCAAGTCTGCGATCCAATGGATGTCAGCATCGACTTGTAGGGGGCAGAGAAGGGAGGAGGGATCAGGGAAGCAAAGACTTGCATTTCCAGCAAATCCTACCGCCTGTGCAGCGCTCTGGTTCGATGAGGGAGTTGTTGGCACTGTACCAATTGCAGGGCAGGAAGTAGATGATGTAGAGGCTTGATTTGCGGTGGTAGCAGTCTTCTTGTCCTTCTTATTCTTCCTAGAGCGATAGAAAGCCTTTGATCTCTCCATATTTACACACTTATGGGATGATGTGTCGTATGACGGGTCTGGGAATTTCTAGAGCGTGGGGCTCATAAACCTGTTAAAATATCCCACAAAGTAGGCCTTGTGCCCAGTGTCAGAGACTGAAGAGAAAATACACTGGGCACACACAACTGCTAAGTGCGCAAAAATGGTAATCAAGGGAAAACAAACAGTCACAACATACCACAACACTGTATAGTGTAGGAATGTGAACTTAGAGCATATTAGCAAAGCATATAACAGTAGAATAAATGAAAATGCAAACAGAGGTGCAGAGGCACCACTGTAACAATAAGACCATTCTAGTCTCTCTAATTCAAACTTTCATTGACACAGATGGTCTCAGATATGCTTCTTGATTGCCAATACATGCATATGCAGCTGAATGCTTTGAATTCAATCAACTTATAAATCTAGAAGACAAAGAACCACCAGCCTGAAGAAAGGAGCTATTCTGGAGCCTGGAAAGCTCTGCAAACCCATCTATTCCAAGGCTTGCCCTCTGTCTTTGTGAGGCTTGTTTGAAATGCATAATCTTTTTCTGACACTTGGCTATCTGTATATTTAAATTTGTCATATCAGCTCCCCCTTGGAGAAGACCCTTCTCCAGTTCATCTAGTCTGGCATCATATGTTTCCAGTGATTTCTGAGTTGCCATCTGTTCATATTAGGTGCCTGTGCACCTCAGGACTGCATTTATCCTCTGTGTTATTTCTATCTAACCCTACAGACATGTAGTGGACACTTAGCTTCGCTCTAAGTGTCCTTGGTTTGCTTTTGTTTATTGTTTACCTTTGTTTATCATTTTTGCGCACTTACTGTTGTGTGCCCAGTGAAATTTTCTTCAGTCTCTTACACTGGGCACAAGGTATGTCTTATGTAGTATTCCCTTGAATATCAGTCTCTTCTTACACTGGGCACAAGTGGCCTCAGTCTGTGGTTATCTCAACACCATCATGTGCATTATAAGATTTTCTGTGGCTTTTGCAGAGTACCCTTAATTTACTGTCAGCTCACAGCAAGAGGAATCACTTATACAGGAAGCTTACAAGATGCTGGCTTGGTTTGTACTGAACCCTGAGCCTCCCATTCAGCTTGAAGTGTCTGAATATTGATTCCAGATCTTCTTAGACCCTTTTTTGCAGAAGCCTTTTTTGCTTGACAGTGATTCCAGCACCGCAAAAGCCACTGGCCAAGACCAGTAAGACTCTTCATGTCAAGATAGTGCACCTGGGAGTCAATGACAAAGAGGCATTGATGATACTGAATAAAATATTAGCCTGCATTTTGTAACACAACTAACTGCATACCCCAGAAACTCACAGAGATGGTATTAGTGGCTTAATTGAACTCCAAAATTGCTCACAACCCTCTCCATCAGACAGTCCAAACCCTTCTCGTTTCCAAGGGTGATAGATGAGCTGGCAAGCCCATTGATGACCAAAGGCATGAAAGACTGATATAGCAAAAGAAATTCAGGGCAGAAATGGCCCAAGGTAGCCCCACTTTCTGCAGCTCTGTTCAAGCTGACAGCCTATGTCATATAACTGTTTATATCAGGTGCCTGTGCACCTCAGATCATGTTTTTCCTTTCTCCTATTTCTATCTCACCCTACAGGCATGTAGTGGACACTTAGCTTTGCTCTAAGTGTCCTTGGTTTGCATTTGTTTATTGTTTACCTTTGTTTATCATTTTTGTGCACTTACTGCTGTGTGCCCAGTGAAATTTTCTTCAGTCTCTTACACTGGGCACCAGGTACAGTCCTGTATTATTTTACTCAATGTTAGTCTCTTACACTGGGCACCAGTGGCCTCAGATTGTGGTTATATTAACAATAACAGCCCACTGTGAAAATCATCAGGGAGGTGACTGAATAATGATTTGATAAGGGCAAGTGCAAATGTTGCTTCTCCCCTGCTGAAGTCATGTTGGCAAGGTGAATAACACAATCATGACGACAGAGTAGGGCCATAACTCCAGTATCTGAAAAGAATTGGGTACTTGCCTATACCACCATCAGAATATTGCAGACAGGTTAAATGATTAAGCTCACTTTCTGACATCTTTCATCAGCTGCAGTGAAGGATTCATTACAACTCTTGAGGGCTGATGGTGGTATCCTCGTACTCTGCTCAAATCTATCCTCATCTCCACAACTCTTCTTAGAAGACTGACCACTCCTCTTTTGCATTGATGCCTTTGTCCTTCTCAAACTTTCAACCTCACATTCCATAGTATCAATGTCTTCTTGTGACAGAAAAACTGAACCTGTAGGGTTTACTGGATCATCCTGTTGACTTCTTCTACATTTCTGGGAAAAGCAAGCATTGATGCAAACAATTGCATCAGGATTAGAGGAGCTAGGACCCAAGACTACTTAGTAAGATTATGTATGTGCACCAAGAAACATACCTATTATTATTTTTCCAGTTGTGACTACCAAAGCACAATGGGCAATGCTTTCATAGGTATTCCGAAGGCCCTGTCCTTGAACTTGAGACATCTGGAGGGTGGTGAGAGGATGATGGAACTGCAGGGAGGATGTCAGCTGGTGGGGTTGCAGCACTTTCCAGGTGTTGTTGAACATATTCATCAACTGAGATTTCCAGGATGCAATACCAGTGGTATGCATTACTAAACCTTCGACATATACCTTCATGTAAGTATCATTAGCAAACATCATTAATAGATATGGATGGAAATAGTTAAAAGCATGCATTGACTTGATAAACACAGCACAAGATCAGATCTGCAGACATGTGCACATTCATACAGCCACAGTGCAATCATTCATTAGACACAAACAACAAAGTCCCAATAGGTTAGACATACACAAAACTGTAGTCTCATAATCACAACATAAATGAAAACAGTGGATACAGATAATATAATCATTGGGACAGAATTCAGACACAAACCTTTGTGTCTACCTTGTAGCCCATGCTAGCAAGATATGCTTCAAGGGACTCACACCATGCAGAAATGTTTGGGGGCATGCACATAAAGACCTGCCTGACCAGACTCAGAAGCTGTAAACTGACAGCAAGGGTTGGCCCCAGTGGCTGTTGCAATAAATGCGACCAGACAGGGGATTGAACCCTGGACCTCCCAGGTTTCGACCGGGTGCTCTAACCACTGAGCTATTTGGTCAAGGTATCTAGGCTTACTTGGTGTGGTTTAACCACCAAGTGCTAGTAGGGACTAGCATTGCTGAGTGCTGGAGTACTACACTTGCAACAGCCTCCCCTAATCCAGTGCACAGCAACAAGGCACAAGCATGGGAAATCACTGCCTAAAGTGGCAACTGCCTTAAGTGGTAGGTCTTACTATTTATTATTTACAGTTGTTTATCATTTTTGCGCACTTACTGTGCTGTGCCCAGTGAAATTTTCTTCAGTCTCTTACACTGGGCACCAGTGGCCTCAGTTTGTGGATATCTTAACAGAGCCCTGATCACATCCATGATGAGTATGATGCACATCTTGCCTTCTTATTGCAAGATACAGCAGAAGATGCCCCCCCTTTGTCCTCTCTTCCAATGGAGCCTCATTCATGAAGTTTTTATTTGCTTCACTAAGAGGGCAGTTAGGGGGGAAAAGTTGTGATCCCCTGTGCTCCTGTCACCCCACAGACACCCAAAGTTTGACCCCTGTTGACACCTGACTCACGCTGTCTGCTATTGGATGTACTATATTGGCATCAGATCAGCACTGCCTCTGTCATCCCACTTTGGCCTAGAAGCAATCTCTTCAAGATCATGCACAGCCTCCCCCTAATGCAATTCCAGTGCACTTTCCCAGTTTCTGATATTGCTTGACTCATACTTTGACATTCTGACTGTCCTTGATTCACCTATTGCCAATACTTACCAATCTTTTGACTTTGCTTACTGATTCTTCACTTTTTGTTGCAATAAATGCGACCAGACAGGGGATTGAACCCTGGACCTCCCAGGTTTCGACCGGGTGCTCTAACCACTGAGCTATTTGGTCAAGGTATCTAGGCTTACTTGGTGTGGTTTAACCACCAAGTGCTAGTAGGGACTAGCATTGCTGAGTGCTGGAGTACTACACTTGCAACACTTTTTGGCTTACTTATCCTTACCAATGCTCACCAATGCTTTCTAAGATGATTACCCACCACTTACATTCCTTACTTATCACTTACCAATCACTTACCAAGTATTTGCACCTTGTTTTCCATAGGCAACACCCCTGCACTGTATATAAATCACTGTACTTAGATAGCTGAATAGGACAAAGATGTCAGAGAGCCCCTCTTGCTTGCATTTCATCATCACTCAGTAATTCATTCATCAGCTTCAATAGTTGAGACTTTATTAAGAGTCTAACTATTGTCTACTTCGCTTATCATTGTCTATCATTGATATACTTTGCTCCAAGTGCTCCCTGAGCTCAATGCAGCTTAGGACATTGAATTAAGTTGTCATTCATCCTTCTGTAGGCTGACATCAGTCTACCCCTGTTGGAGTGAAATGACCCCTGTCCTTACTTGGACTTAGGTACATGATTGTGTCACTTACATAAGCTGTTAGAGCACACCCATACACTAGTAAAATTTACCTAGTCCCTCAGTAGCTTGACAGACTACTGAGGGTGAGCACACTTCTACATAGATAGATGATCCTTACTAACTTGTATAGTTCCCTACAGGTACTATACTCAATACAGTAGCTTGACAGACTACTGAGGTTCCCTACAGATTCCTTTCTGGGTTTCCCCTCTGCAACCCCACAAACTTCTTCAACCCCATCACAATCTCTCATATTCTTGCTCCCTCTTTGTCAGGAGCACTCCCAACCCTCAGCACTTGTCTTTGAGTGTTGCAGCTTGCAAAAACCCACCCAAATCAAAGGTTCTACCATCTAGGTACTGCACAGGCACACCACCACTCACTTTTGTTGTCTTTTGTGTTGGTTTTGGTTGGTTTCCACCACTGAACCACACTTTGACTCACACTGGGTGAGTCCTTTTCTCATTCCCTGTGTATTTGTGTCTAAGACACCTCTTAGCTGCACTCACTGTACCTGGGTGAAAGTTGTCTGTGAGTTCCTTGTGGATGGCAACAAGAAACAGGTTACCTGTGCCCAGTGCAACCAATTGAAGGGCAAGTGCCAGTGGCCCAGGGACAGGAAGGACACTGAGGCCAGTCCTAAGGCCACTTCCAAGGTCAACAAAGGGAAGAAGCAGAAAGCTGATGACAAGATTCATAAAATCACCCAGTCTTAAGGCCTTGTGCCCAGTGTAAGAGACTAATATTTAAGTAAATACTACAGGAAACATACCTTGTGCCCAGTGTAAGAGACTGAAGAAAATATCACTGGGCACAGAGCAGTAAGTGCGCAAAAATGATAAACAGATGTAACTAATAAACAAATGTAAACCAAGGACACTTAGAGCGAAGCTAAGTGCCCACTGCAAGTCTGTAGAGTGAGAACAGAACATAATAAAGGACAAACTGCGAAATGAGGTGCACAGGCACCACATATGAACACTTCCCCCTGATTGTGCAACTCTGAAGTCAAGTACTTCCCCCTGATGCACCAAGTCCTAGCATCTTGCAGAATTCAATGACCTTGGGACGAGGCAATGCTTTGGTGAGGAGATCTGCAGCCTGGGAGGTGGTAGGAATGAAAACAGGTGAGATAAGACTCTCCTGCACCGCATCTCTTAGCCAGTAGTGGCAGAGATCAAGTTGCTTCATCCTTCCATGGTGTTCAGGGTTCTTTGCAACAGAGATCGCAGATTGGTTGTCCATGAGGAGAACAGAAGGCTCAGGGAGTGAAAAACCAATTTCCTGGAGTAGGTTTCGCATCCACTTGATCTCCTTGCCAGCTTGGACAGCTGCCATGTACTCTGCCTCAGTGGTTGATAAGGCGACGACTCCCTGCAGCTTGGATGACCAGGAAACAGCTCCAGTACCCATCTTGACCACATAACCACCTGTGGAGCGACCAGAATCCCTGCACCCACCATGATCTGCATCAGAGAAGGTGGTAAATGGCTCAGCAGTCGAAGAATCTGGGGAATAAGTGATGGCATAATCCAGAGTACCCTTCAGATAGCGCAATAAGTGTTTAACAGCAAGCCAGTGAGCCCAGCCAGGGTTAGAATTGAACCTGGCTAGAACTCCAACAGTATATGCAATATCTGGGCGAGTTGTGGTTGCCAGATACATCAGGGCACCCACAGCAGAAAGATATGGGACTTTGCGCATGGTTTGAGCTTCCTCAGGGCTCTGGGGTGATTGCTGGCGAGATAGGCGAAGATTGGGCTCCATTGGAGTGGAGATGGGCTTACAGTTAGCCATTCCAAATCGCTCCAAGACATCGAGGCAGTACTGGCGCTGGGAGAGGGAAATCGAGCGATTGGGGCGGTCTCTGTCAATTTTAATGCCCAACAGCTGAGTGGTAGGTCCCAAATTGCGAATTTTGAAGTGTTGGCTCAGTTTTGAGACAAAGGAGTCAATGGCCTCTGCAGAGCGCAAGGCAAGGGTCATATCTTCGACAAAGACAGGTAAAATGATGGTGACATCATCTTGGGAGTAGATGTAGATGCTGGCATCAGAATAGGTCTGTCTGAAGCCAAGGGCCTCCAGTACAGAGCGCATCTTCTTGTTCCACCGGTTTCCACCCTGCTTGCTGCCATAAATCGCTTTTTGGAGAAGACACACCTCAGATCTGGCATCTCCCTCCACAAATCCCTCTGGTTGTGCCATATAAACTTCACAGTCCATCTCCCCATTCAGATATGCATGGGAGACATCAACAGAGCGAAGATGAAGATCCTGGAGGGCTGCAATGGCCAGGATAACTCTGATGGATGCAAGGCGAGCTGTAGGCGCAAATACTTCGAGATAGTCGAAACCAGGGCGCTGATTATAGCCCTTGGCAACCAATCGAGCCTTGTAGCGCTCTATGGATCCATCAGCATTGCGCTTCACCTTGAAGAATACCCACTTGGAGCCAATAATTTTGCTCCCAGGAGGCCTAGGGACAAGTTTCCATGTCCCATTGCTTTGGTGCGCAGCCAATTCCTCCAGAGCTGCTTCTCGCCATTTTTCAGCATCGGGACGTCGCATTGCCTCTGCAAATGTGAGTGGCTCATCAGGAAGGGATGCAGACATAGCCAGTTCATCATCACTGTCTTCCATGTCCTCCACATCATCCAATTGCGCAGGAGAGAGCTTCCACCACTCTCTAGGCTTCTGTCTGTGCCTCCTGGGAAGTCTGGCACCTATTCCAACAGGGCTAGGCACACGAGGGGGTGGTACAGGCGATGGAGTGCGAAGAGGAGGTGCAGGAGGTTCAGGGGGAGGAAGCTGAGGCTGAATGGGATTTGGATCAGCTCCTATTGGCTCAATATCACCCCCTTGATCCAGTGTGTCATCAGACTCGCTTTCAGAGTCCAGATCTGGAATGGAGTGGTAGTGGGTGCAA